ACGACATGGACAATTGGAAGGGGAAAACTCGATACACGTTTAATGCGATGGTAAACTATTGATGAGATTAAATATAACGTTGATGGGGATTATAAGAATTGGTTGTTGGTTTTGGTTTCAGGTATCTGTACAGGATTTGGAGGATACGTTGATGGGGATTATAAGAATTGGTTGTTGGTTTTGGTTTCAGGTATCTGTACAGGATTTGGAGGATACTTATCAGCCTCCTTTTAGGAGTTGCATTCAAGAGGCTCAAGCTAGTGGAGTGATGTGCTCGTATAATCAAGTCAATGGAGTGCCCACTTATGCTGATTACAATTTTCTAACCAAAACCGCAAGGGGCTCTTGGGGATTCTATGGGTAAATACAAAAAATATAAGCTCCCACTTGCAATGCTTTCTTTCAATTCAGATTTGGCTACATAGTGGAACTTTTAGTGGAAACTTTAGGTGTTACAGTCTCTAGGCAGACACATTACAAGTATCAACAACCACCAAGCACTAACATAACCCCTGTTTTTGTGATGGAAAAGATACATCACCTCAGACTGTGATGCAGTTTCCATCATCCATGATGCTCAGGGATACGCAAAGACGTCAGAAGATGCATGAAATTAGATTTTTATACATTACAATTTCTAATTATTTTAACGTAGAAGCATTAACTCTCTTCGTTTCTTATCCTTTATAGTATTTACTAATATCAATTGTGCATCTAGTGCATTGTATAATTATACAATAAATTGCAGTAAGTTTTGCAAGCTGCAAGTCCTTTTTTCTAGTCTGGAAGTAAGCAAGCTATCTATTTAATACACATTTGATGGCTTTTCACATGATGAGACATAAAGCAATTTAGATCCTTAGAGATTTTGGAGTTGATTTACTACAAATCCTATCCCATACAAGATTTGTCCCATGAAACAAAACCATTTCTATGCAGTAAGAAGCGTGAAAGCAATAATGGGCAGTTGGGGACCTTGATCAATACAACACAAACAAGCAAATGATTGCATGAGACTCTTCAAAGAACCTGATTCCACCGAAGCAGAACCACCAAAAAAGAGGTTACATCTTGAACAGAATATGTGAACATAATCAGGAACAAAAAATTGCACCCCTAATATCCGCTGTAAAAATAGACAATTAATCAAACTGATCTAACAATGGCTCATATGACGAGAAGATAAAATCTAACCTGTATTGTCTTGCGAAAATTCCTAGGTTCTTCAGGGTCCTCAAATGGATATGCACCCACTAACATGACATATACTCCACAGGACCATACATCTGCAATCTGTAACGTTTATAAGCTAAAGTACATCAGAAGAAAAAAGAGAATTCTGGACGGCTAATATTATTAGGAAAGAGAAAATGCCTTCAACACTAGCACAGTGAACAGCTAGTAACAAGACATAATGCGCAACAATGACACAAAGCTACCAAGTAACATGACATATAGATTCATATGGCACCATAAACAAAAATAAAAATTCCCCAGAATGCGACTGTAGTTCTACACCAAACTACCAAGTACCAACATACGCAGCATACAAAGTCTAGAATGTAAAGTTAATGAAACGGTAAAAAAATGATATCATTTCAAGGTACTAGGAAAAATAATCTGGTTTTATGATTGCAATGAGTCAATACTTGGACAACATTTCTATGTAACACAAGCTAGAAACATCTTAATGTTCAATTGTGGAATTCAACTTCTGAAAGAGCCCAATGTCTAAATAAAGTCAGTTATATATATTGATAACTTATAAGAATATTGTAAAAAGATCTTCATTTTTGTTCTGGGGTTTCATTTTTTTTGTTGACAGAAACATTGTTGCTGTAAATGGCTTTGGAGATGGTAGTAATTTTTGGATAATCACCAGATAGGAGTAGTTTTTGGATCATCACAAAAATTGTACGAAATAATAGTGTCAAAACTACTTACAATTGTAACATTACAGAGCTCCTATGAAAGGGAATATGGATGATATATCCTGAAACCATTGTAACATTACAGAGCTCCTATGAAAATGGGAAATGGACATAGAGAGGAAACTGGGACTAACAAAGCTATAAAGAACACAATATACCATATGAAAAGGCAAATGTGGCAACAGGCATGCAACTGCTACATGGATATGGAAGGGTTAAAGGCTCTAACAATAAGCTGGGGAATACATGTAATATCTGAAACTGGAGAAATAGAAGAAAAGGCTGGACAAGTAGCATCCAGACTTATTGGAAACATCCGCACGACATGGATTCAAAAACTACTTACAATTATAGCTACTAAACCACTTTCAACAAATAACAAAAAGAAGGAAGGAGATTTTACTACTAATTCAAGCATCCCCCTCTTAATCTTGCAACGTAATCGCAGCATCAAGAAAAAATAACAGTAAAATTATAGCTACATTTACCAAATTATGTCAAACTAAAACATCACGCACAAATCAAAAAAAGAACATTAAAATTATGATATAAACTAATCATTATCCTCATCATCACTTGAAATGATTGGTTCTTCATCACCATCTTCCGGATCATCTTCTTCTTCAATATCATCATTTATCAAATTATCTTCACTACCATCATTCATCCAATCATCGTTCACAACCTCTGAAGCAACAATTTCTGGGTCAATATCATTAAGATGCAATTCTGGAGTTTCAAGGCCCTCTTCTTGAACGAACCAGTGAACATCATTAAACTCGTCTTGTTGATAAGCATCATTTGTCATAGGATCTACATCTTCCTCAACTATCACTCCACTTGTATCCTCGACCTCCGGAACATCCCACACGTTTCTCAATTGCACCTTTTGTACAACTTTCCAGGGTGAACCCAACTTGCAGTCATCGAGATAAAACACTTGTTGGGCTTCCATAGCAAGTATGAATGGTTCATCACCATACCACGTAGAGCTTGTATTAATGCTAGTAAGATTATAATCATACCGTATCATTCTTCTCCTTTCGTTGTATTAATGCTAGTAAGATTATAATCATACCGTATCATTCTTCTCCTTTCGTCTCTACTTGATTCGTCGGTGTTGAACCATTTACACTTGAATAAGAAAACTTGATTCATATCTAAGTACGTTAACTTCACAATACTTAGCAAAACACCATAATAATCATGACTTCCACCAATAAAAACTCCAGGGACATACACCCCACTATTTTGAGTTGTCCGATGATTATCAAGATCTTTTGTATGATATCTAACTCCATCCACGATACAACCAGTGTACGTATGAACACGTAAATCTGGTTTACATGCTAGACAATAAAGTTTCTCATCAGTTGCATCCATCAATCCGTTTTCTCTCTTTTTAATCATCTATGAATAACAATTGAAACAAGAAAGTTAGCATAGTGGTCATATACAATAACTAACTACTCTTTAAAATTGTGTATGAACTTACTTTTTTTTCAAACCAATCGGGGAACTCATTTTCTTGTCTTTCATACAACTTATGGTTACTTGTTTGCCTTAACTCATCCTCATGTTCCCTACAGGTACAAATTAGATAATTCAATCTCTATTCTGAATTAAAAAAATTGAACTCAATACACACAAATGCAAAAAAGACACTTACTTGAGATAAGGTTTCACCTCGTCACAGTGGTATAGTACATACCAATGAGCTTTATTCACTTCCTTCCGGTCCAGTAGTATATATTTTTTTCCGCAGAATGGACGAACTTTCTGAGAGAAAATCGATAAACCATCTACTACTTGGTCATCTTCTACATCGACATTTCGTTCTGCCCGATTGATACAGGTTTCAATCTCACGAAAATACATAGAACAAAATGTCACTGCTTCATTGACAATATATGCTTCTGCAATAGAACCTTCAGGTCGAGCTTTATTTGTAACATACTTTTTATATGTTCCTAAATTTCTCTCAATAGGATACATCCACCGATAGGTAACTGGACCACCAAGCAAAGCTTCACGAGGTAAATGGACTGCCAAGTGAACCATTACATCAAAAAAAGCCGGTGGAAAAATTCTCTCTAATTTGACGAGGTAAATGGACTGCCAAGTGAACCATTACATCAAAAAAAGCCGGTGGAAAAATTCTCTCTAATTTGTACAATATTATAACAATCTTCTTCTCCATTCTTTCCAAGTCTGACACCTTTAAAGTTTTTACACATATCTGTTGGAAAAAAATGGCCAGCTCAACAATTGCAGTGCACACATCCTTGTCCAAATATGAACGAATACCAACTGGGAGGAGGCGTTGAAGTAAAACATGGCAATCATGACTTTTTAAATTATGTATCTTCCCATCGACAATGTTCACATTTTTGCAAATATTGGCAGCATACCCATCAGGAAATTTGACAACTTTGAGGAACTTACAAAACAGCCTACGGTATTCCAATTTCAAAACATATCTAGCATGAGGCTTCTTCAATTTATTCCCTTGACATGTGAGATGCAATTCTTTTCTTATCTTCCTATCTGCCAAGTCCAAACGAGCCTTGTTGGTGTCTTTTGTTTTCCCGTCTATATTCAACAAAGTACCAATGGCACTATCACATATATTTTTTTCAACATGCATCACATCAATATTATGTCTCAACCTGAGCTTGGACCAATACTCTAACTCAAAAGGAATACTCTTTCTAGACTAGTTTAGCTCATGAGGCTCACGGTGTCGCTTTAAATCAGGATTGTCAGGATGTTTTCCAGGCCTAGCTTTATAAACACGATCTAATTGCCGTAATATGTCATCCCCAGAAAATAATCTGGGAGGAGGACGATCTTCAACTAAACCGTTAAAATATTTACTCCTTCTCCACTCATGATCCACAGGCAAATTTCGTCGAGCTCCCATAAAACATAATTTTCCTCTCAACCCCTCTGAAGTTACATCTTCGTTACAAACAGGGCAAGCTTTATACCCTTTTGTGCTCCACCCAGATAAATTTCCGTAAGCAGGAAAATCATTTATAGTCCACAATACACATGCCCGCAAATTAAAATTTCTCCCAACAGAGATATCAAAAGTTTCAACTCCAATATCCCACAATTCTTTTAATTCGTCTATTAATGGACGAAGATACACATCAATGTCTTTTCCAGGCGCTCGAGGACTAGGTATGAGTAATGACATCATTGAATACACTCCTTTCATGCATTTCCAAGGAGGCAGATTGTACGGCACTAGCATAACTGGCCACATACTATAACTAGTGCTCATGTTTCCAAATGGATTAAAACCATCTGTAGCAAGCCCCAACCTCACATTTCGACAATCTGCAGCAAAATCAGGATACTCTTGATCAAAGTGTTTTAACTCGGCAGAACCAGCTGGATGTTGTAGGAAACCCTCTTCATTTTGTCTTCTTTTTTTATGCAATTTCATTTCAGTCACTATATGTCTCGATATATACAACCTCCGAAGTCTCGGCTTCAATAGAAAATAACGCAAGACTTTTTGTGGAACTTTCTTGCGTTTGCCATCACAAGACTTGTATCTCGGCTCCTTGCACACTGGACATTCATCCAGTTTCTTATTCTCTTTCCCATAAAACAGTGCATAGTCATACTTGCATGCATGTATGGATTCATACCTCAAGCCCAATTCTAGCAACATATTTTTGGCTTCATAGTTCGATGTTGGTATGGATGCACCTTTTGGATACGAGTCATTTAACAATTTCAGTAGATTTTTAAAACTTTTATTGCTCCAATGACCATCTATCTTGATCTGCATTAATTTTATAATAAAAGATAATGCAGAGAACTTTGTACAACCCGGGTACAGTTCTCATTGAGCTTCATTAAACAAATAATCATATTTGTTAACATAAATATCGTTCTCATCATCTGTCTCCATACTTATAGCCCCTTGGACATCATTTAACATGTCCAACATCGCAGCATTGTCATCATCATCATCCTCGCTATCACTTTCAAAATCCTCATACATTTGGTCGTCTGTGACATCAACAAAATCTTCCCCGTGCTCAGTCCATGTCGTGTAATGTTGTGCAAACCCATTTACAAGTATATGTCTGCGTATCTCGGGTAGAGAAAGACACGGCAAGGCATTTTGACATTTAACACAGGGGCAACGCGTCTTATTTTCATGATCTAGGTGTTGTTTCGCAGCATCCAGAAATGTTTGTAAACCATTGGTGAAGTCAGGGTTGTGAAACCTATCTCTAACAAACATCCAACTTCTGTCCATCATGTACCTATAATAAAAAACAAGGGGTTCCCCATTGAGAAACAGTATGACCAATCATAAAAAAGATACATAACCAACACTTGTACCTATGATCTAACTTACCTGTGGTTAATCGATAATTATAATATTTTTTTGTTAATTAAGTGATAAAAAATGAGATATTAACGTTGATTATTTATTTATTGAGGTACACTTCAACAGCCATAGACAAAATCAAGCATAAAAGAACAAAAAAAAAGGAAAACAAAAGTTAAAACATTAGCAAGAAGTTACAAATGCAAGCTGGATTAACATTAAAGTGAGAACAAAAAAGAAAAAAATAACAATTTAAGTGATTGTGATTCACAAGGTGTGACACTTTAAGGTAATGAATGTGAGGAGCCCTTATCCCAGTGTAAAGCTAAGTGTGCATCCATGAATATGTTGATCAGTTAACCAACTCGTTAGATTATAAAGAGGATATATTCCTTTCTAACTTGTTGATAATGCATAAGACCTTTAGGATAATTGTTACATGAATGCACCCAAACACTTCAAAACCAACTAAGTTATATTATAGTCAAGCAACCACAAAGTTCAATGACCAACAGTGTTTTCTCAATATTGATAACTGTCTATAGCTTTCTGAAAAGAATGGAGGCAATAAAAATGTTGATAAAATTATAATCCTCAACATGTTCATGTATATGACATATATGGATTAGTCACATACATCTTCAAACATGTCAACTGTAATGTAATAACAGATTCTTCACCAGATGAAAGCGTATATATCTGCAACTAGATGTTCATAACTAAATCCAAGGAAATTTAACATATACGAACATAACTCACATTCCCAATAGGAGAGGATGTGGGTGAACTTAACAAAATAAATAAGCACGCCCTTATTTGCTACCAAATGTCCGCAACATGCATAGGGGAGTTTTTGTTTTAATTCTAATAATTAATTATAATTTCCCATTAATTCTAAGGAAAAACATTAACAAACTCTATATATAAAAAGATGGAGTTAGAGTAATTAGTGAGCATTGACTTACTGAGGAAATCACCGAGGGCGAAGTCTTTGGCAGCAGCCAACTTTTGGTAGTCGATCTTGGGAGCTTTGAAGCTGTCAAACCAACTCAGAGAGCCACCGACCGTGTAGTTCTTGTACCCCTCCATGCTTCGAGAATTGAAGAAGAACACCAAGAGAAGAGATGAGAAAATTAGAGAAGAGATGAGAAAAACTAGGGTCCAAAATTAAATGCAGAATATTTCAAATTTAGGGGAAAATTAGACATTGTAACAATTAACTAAACAATTTTATCAAAAAATTACACTAAATCCACTAACAAGCTTCAGCAATATCACTAGTTCAACAGAAATTGTGATATGAATGCACTATTATATGTTGAACAAATGAACAATGTCAATTACCGGAAAGAGGACCTCTTAGCCCATTTGTAAGAAAAAATTAGTGCAATATTATCTAAAAAGCATGGCATACCAAGAAAAAAAATTCTCCTTCCATAGACCAGAAAAATAGTAGCCTTTAAACTAAAAAATTGAAGTAGGCATTGTAAGATGGGGACCAGTAGCCGGAAAGCAATCAAATATGTCAAAATGAAGTAGGTATCCAAAGAATAAACAAGGACTGACAGAAATAATTAGAAATTTCAAATTGGTTGAGGGAGAGCATGAAATATTTAGATCTTGGTTACTGTTTTCCTAATAAGAACAATAACTAAAATTACTTCTTTTTTGTATAGAATAGAAAAGCAGAGAGTTTTTCTCTACAGAATTACATGCACAGAATCAACAAGGGATTGGGAATTTTCACAAGTTGAAAGAATAATTTAATCTCAATAATAGGAAAATTCAAAATACCTTTGTGGGGGTGAGGCGATCAGCACATGCAATTGCCAGAAATCGGAAAGGGGAGAGACGCAACCACAATTGCACGAATTGGAAAGACCAGAGACACCCAAATCTGTTATTATAAGGGAAAGCGAAGGTCTCAAGGTCTTGATCGAGGTGAGATCGGAGGTCAATTGAAATTTTTGAGAGGGGAGGTTTTGGGTCGTGGGGAGGTACTGGTCGGGTGGGAGGCTGAGATTGGAGGGGTTTTGAGGGGAAATAAAAATCACCTAGCTAGGTTTTGGGTCGTGGGGAGTTCGCGGGTGGGAGGCTGAGAGCGGAGCGGTTTTGAGGGATGAATAAAAATCACCGCCTTTTGGTAATTATAATTCGTTTCCCCCATTTTTTTAATCCCTACAAATTTAGTTTCCCACCTTAATTTTAATAAAAATATCTATTTTTTTAAATTTACTTGAGATATAATTAACAACTCAAATAGACAGAAAAGATTAGATTTTATAATAACTGATAAAAATAAAACTCACACCTCAATTCGGGGATCACCAAAACTCAAAACAATAATACTGACCATTAAAATTCAATTAGAGTTCACCAGCTGTACAAATAATCAAATCTAAAATAAGAGATTAAGAGGGCAATTGAAATTAACCCAAATCATTTAAAGTCTGACGATAATCAGACCTTGATCTAGCATAAAACTTGACCTCGATTAATCAAACAAAAAAGATTTATACATATTGAGGAAGAAAATTGAAAGAATCTATGGGCGAAGTAATAAAAGATTGATTCTGAAAAGATTTATACATATTGAGGAAGAAAATTGAAAGAATCTATGGGCGAAGTAATAAAAGATTGATTCTCAGTACTTACCAAAATTGAAAACTCAATAGATCGGCTGGATGTAAACGAGAACCTCTAAGTTTCAAAGTGCAGCACTGCAACGCCGTGTTGAGATTGAGAGAGATATTAGGGTAAATCTATTCATTCTTTTTTGTTCAAATTTATTTTTTTTATTTTTTAGATTGGTCGCTATTTCTCCCGCTATTTTTTCGATACATGTAATTTCTCCGACTTCCTCACCAGGACATCCCGCTTTTCTTTTAGATTGACGGTATATATGTTAGCTTTGACTCTTTCTTGTTTAAATTACATATTTCTCCATGTACACGGCATCAAAGAGAGTATATCTATTAAGAGGGTTAAATTTGATATTTTACTTTGACCATGTTTAGAGTTTAGGGTTTAGGGTTTAGGGGTTAGGGGAAAATATAAACATATGTATATCTTTCAGCTATCTTTTCAAAGAGAAAATTTGTTGTGATCAAGATTGAAAGATCTTACTACGATAGGATACCCAGTTGAGGCATTAAAACATACTCAAAGTGGAAATATCTTGCTGAGACATAAATATTTAATTGAGGCGGATATATCTAGACAAGCTTAGAATGTATGATTTAATGAGTGTTTAGAATCGAAGTAATGCCTAAACTTGTGATGAGAATCTCCCACATCTCAAAGCTAATGTAGTTTATATCTATTTTCATTGCCAAATAGGAATAAAAGATTTCATTGCATGTTTGGTTTATATCTATTTGGCGGGTTTTGCACATTTTTCCACCAAACTAATAATGAGAAAACTATTATTTCCTTGCTAATTGATTCTTTTAACGAGGAAAGAGTTCCTCGTAAAACAAAAAAAAATTAGTGAGGAAACCTTCAATTTGTCGTCAATGAATTTGGCTGGTGTTGCACATGTTTTAGCCAAATTAATAATGAGAAAACTATAATTTCCTCGCTAATAGGTTCTTTTTGACGACAAAACGGTTCCTCGTAAAACAAAAACTTTTAGCGAGGAAGCCTTAAATTTGTTGCTATTGAAATTGGTGGGTTTTGCACATTTTCCGCCAAACTAATAACGAGCTAATTGATTCTTTTGATGAGGAAACGGTTCCTCGCAGATTATGGATTTTCAGTGAGGAGATCATACTTTGTCGCTGTTACATTTGGCGGGTTTTCCTCTATTTTTTGCCAAAAGAACAGCGATGAAATGATTATTTCCTCGTTAAATGTGCATTTCGCGATGAAAAAGTTCATCACCAAAATTATATATTTCCTCGCCAATAAAATAACTAGTTAGGAGACCAAATTATGATCATCTTTAGCGAGGAACTAAAATTTTTATCGTAGAAGGTGGTCTACTGTGAGGAAAATATATTCCTCGTAGAAGGCCTACTGATATTTACAGAGGAAATAATATTTTTCTCGTCGAAAGTGATATTTGTTGAGGAAAATAATTTTCTCGCAAAAAAGTTGGTCGCTAAAAGACCTGCCTGTTGTAGTGAATTTAGAAACATAAGTGAGCAAAAGCCATCAAAGTAGAACCGAGGAACAATTTTTTGATAAGAAAGTAAACTAAAAATACTTAATTTTTTTCCGTCAATTCAATTATCAACATGAAAATTTAAATTTGGTGTAGCTTATTTAAATGAACATTAAAGAAAATAAATAATCACAATACAAAAGTTTAGAGACATAAGTGAGCAAAAACCATTAAAAAAGAACCTAGGAACAAATTTTTAATTAAGAAATGAACTAAAAGTAAGGGCAAAATTTGCAAAGAAATATTGGGCAAGAATTTTCATAAGTTTGCCTAATTTTACATCCTTTTCCCTTGTTAGCTTCGAAGTGATGAGATAAAGCTTAAAGCCTTGACTGAGGCCCAATAATTGAAAGGTACTTGGAGCGAACGAGCACCCACACTATCAAATCAACCACAGCCCAATATCTTAGCCCGTCATATGTCGGTATTTGGTTTGGGGTCATAGTAAGGGTTAAATATGAACATATATTTCTTAAAATTACAGTTAAATACTCGATCATATGTTAAAAAATTATAAGAACTACGTGCATGTGAAATTCTCTTAAACGTAGAGCCAGTGTCAATTCTCAACAGTTAGGTTAACTCATAAGTCTAAATGTCTAATCTGCCCATCTTTAACATATGACGACAAAAGCGAAAACCAGAAAGGAAATGGCATAACCTAGGGGCACAATCCTAATTAATGACATGATGGATAAATGCCAAAGTGTCTGCTCTGCTCACGATTCATGTTGTGGATTGGGGTTTAGATTAGGGTTTAGTGTTAGGTTTATGTTTTGGACAAGCTATATATATATTCAATTCTAAACGGAAAAGAACAACTTGGACTTACAACTGTACTTCGAAAATTCACTTTGTCGACTGACTGTTCTTTGGATTCCTGTATATTTGCTATCTGCTGAAAACCTATGAGTTAGGTTCATTAGATGAGGTTAGGCTTGGTCAACATAAGTTGACCAAAAAGATAAAGCATGATTTGAGTTGATATTGATGTCCAAACTTTATAAGTGTTCAAGCAATCAACCATCGTAACACTGTTTTAGTAAAATGAGATTGTGTCATTTGTTCCTTAGATCGAAATTGAATCACATGTCGTAAAACTATTACATAAACAAAGATATTTGAGTGTAAAGCTACTATGTTGGAGAAAGATAATTGTCAATCATTTTTTTATATAAAATATATGAGAAGAGCGAAATTTAGATTTGTAAAAGGACATTGTACCTACATCAAAATTTTAATGTTGCAGTCAGATTTGAGGGTTATGAGTTATAATCTAACACACTCTATAAGTTGAAGACCTTTTTTATGGGCCAAAAAACTATACTCACGGGAGAAAAAATCATTTTTAAAAATCTATTTCAAATTTGTGGCTGGTGAGACTTAAATATGGATATTTGTTCTGATATCATATCAAAGATCCATTCCACGACACTCGAGCTCCAAGATTGTTGTAACAGTTAAGCGTTTGTAATTTTGTAATCTCACAAGATTCATTGTCTTTAAAAATTTTACAAGCTAATATCACTCTTGATGCTTTACTATTTGAAGGAGAAAGGTAATGTTAATCACTTGTAACGTTTAAAATATGTCATCGATGATAAGTTCATGTTGTAACAAATTTAAGGGCCTCTTATTCACAGTCAAATGGTTTCACAGAATTTAAAGCATTAATTTTAGTTCTCTGATTTTTTTTTTAATGGGTGTAGTTCTCTGATACTAGCATCCATGTCACTTAAGAGTTGGTCTTACATAGTTACGTGTATATTGATGTGTGTGTGTGTGTTTTTTTTTTCTTTCTTGTTGGTGCCAAGAGCTACATAAAATAGAAATTTTGCTATAAAGAAAGTGGAAAGAGATCCATACGCATAGGTAGAATGTGGAAGAACTCGCGTGCCTAAATAGAACTATTAGAAAATTAAGATTATATTTTGAAGTATCACTTTCATTTCAGAAAGTACTATTTTAGACCTCGGAGCACCTAGACGTTTTGAATATGATTTATTATTGGGTGTACAAAGTATGAAAAACAATGGAGATCTAGTTCGAGACTATTATAAGACAATAATTGTATATATCAGCAGCAAGATCATAGAGGTGCTCACAACATCAAATTTATAAGGATAAATTACACTAAACCCCTAAGAACTTTCAGGCTTTTGCACTAAGCCTCAAATAACTTTCAAATTCGCACTAAACCCCTAATAACATTTTGGAATTGTTGAAATCCCCTAATAAGTTTCTCAGTTTGGCAGTCAACCCCCATAAATTAGAACCATAATAAAACAACATCAAAGGTTATTTTGAAAGGTATTGGGGGTTCAGTGTAATTTATTAAGGAATTGAAACCGACCAGACGAGACGACACCCTTGTGTCGACTCGAAAGGCGGTGCTAGTCGACTCGAAGCCAGTCGACACGAAGCCCGACCGAGCGAGACGACACCCATTGTGTCGACACGCCTTGCGGTGTCAGTCAACACGAAGCTCGACCAAACGAGACGACACCCCTTGTGTCGACACGAAAGGCCGTCTTAGTCGACACGCCCTATGGTGTCAGTCGACATGCCCTGTGATTCTTTCCTATTGTATGATATTCTGTTAGTATCTCGACAGATTACTTACCCGTTTTAGTTCTAACAATTATGTAACTAATTAGGCAGTTTCAGATATTCTGTAACTCATTGATTCTCTTGTAATCCTATAAATATCTCCTAACATCAATGAAAAAGGCTATGCCATTAATTATTCAGCATTTACAATTCTTTACGTGGTATCAGAGCAGTTCTAGACCTTCTCCCACCACTCCTTTGCAAACCCTAGCCGCAGTCTTCACCATGTCGACTGATTCTCATATCATTATCATCCCCAACCCAGAAAATCCAACCCAAAACCTTCAACTCATCAACACTTCCCATCTATCTATCCATAAATTGACCTCCACAAATTATATTGCTTGGAAAATCTAGATTGAGGCCATTCTCATCGGCTACGACCTCTACAATTACATAGATGGATCTCATCCATGTCCTCCTCGCACCATCACCACCAACAACGTTGAAGCTCCCAATCCAGATTTTATGCATTGGATTCGACAAGACAAACTGTTGTTTGGCGCCCTTGTCGGTTCCATCTCCCCCTCTCTCGTCCCTCTCATCCAACAAGCGACCACTTCTCGTGAAGCATGGCAGACTCTCACCAACACCTATGCTCGCCCGACACGTGGTTACATCAAGTAAATCAAGGACCAGATCAAGCGAGCCACGAAGGGCTCATAATCCATTTCGGATTATATGCAATATGTCAAGTGCCGAACTGATCGCCTTGCTGCACTTGGCAAACCAATGGACCATGAGGACATCATTCAAAAAATCTTAAAAGGTCTCGATGATGAATATCACCAAATCGCTAATGTAGTAGAAGGCAGGGACAACCCCATCTCGTTTGAAGAGCTTCATGAGAAACTCATCAACAGGGAACTCAAGCTTCAGCAGTCGCAATCTCGCAATCCGTATCAATCCCACACTCCGCCACTGCTAACGTTGCGTCGACCAGGTATAATGGTTCACATCGCTCCTCGTCCAACAAGGCACGATCTTCACACTCCATTCTAAGACAACAGCCGTCTCAGTTTCTGCAAGCTGTGTCTCGCTAGCAGAGGCCGTATCTCGGCAAGTGTCAAGGATGCTGATAACAAGGCCACACCGTCGCGCAATGTCCTCTCTTTCAGTTGGTACCCGCCTCCTCGCAAGGCGTCACTCGCACCTCGCACACTGGATCTCAGTGGCAACTAAAGGCACATGTTGCTACAGCATCAGATGCCGAAACTCCAACATGACTTCTCGACAGTGGGGCATCTCACCATGTCACAACTGATCTCGGCAACCTCTCCCTTCATGCTCCATACGATGGGTCTGACGATATTATTATTGGTGAAGGTACTGGGTTACACATTTTCAAAATTGGCTCCTCTTCTCTTAAAGCATCCTCCCATACATTTAAATTACATGATATTTTATTTGTTCCTAACATGAAAAGAAATCTTATTTCCATATCTCAATTTGACAAATCAAATAATACGTCCATTGAGTTCTTACCATCTTCCTTTCGTGTGAAGGATCTACTATCAGGGGCAACACTGCTAGAAGGATAACCTAAAGATGGTGAACCTAAAGATGGTGTGTATGAATGGCCGACCTCGTAACTCACACCTCGTCCTTCGGCCCACTCCAGTGTCAAAGTGTCTTCTAGTGACTGGCATCATCGTCTTGGTCACCCATCCAAGTCAATTCAACGTTATATCATCTCTAAATTCGGTCTAGCTTTAGATTCATCTAATTCAAAGCAATCTCATTGTAATGACTACCTTTGCAATAAAAGTCATAAATTACCTTTCTCTCAATCATCAATTGTGTCTACTTCTCCTCTATAAACTATTTATTCTGATGTGTGAACTTTGCCTATTTATTCTGTCGATGATTACAAATACTACGTTATTTTCGTAGATCACTTCACTCACTACATATGGCTTTACCCTCTCAAACGTAAATCTGATGTCGCCGCTATTTTTCCTCGTTTCAAAGCCCTTGTTGAAAATTACTTCAAAAAGAAAATAGTAACCTTCTACTCAGATAATGGGGGGGGAGTACATGGGTCTTACCAAATCTACTGGACTGGCGACATATCTATCCACAAATGACATCTCGCATCTCACCTGCTACCTCACACTCCAGAACATAATGGTTTTTTAGAACATAGACATTGTCATATTGTTGAAACAGGTCTTTCCCTTCTCTCTAAAGCCTTCTTACCACTCTCCTTGTGGTCATATGCCTTCTCTACTGTAGCCTACCTCATAAATCGTCTCCCTACACCCACTCTTCATATGACATCTTCCTTTCATAAACTCTTTAAGTCGCCACCAAACTACTCCAAACTTTGAGCTTTTGGCTGCCTATGTTATCCTTGGCTTCGTCCATACTCACCTCACAAACTTGCCAGTCACTCCATGCCTTGTGTGTTCCTTGGCTACTCCCTTACACAGAGTGCTTATATATGTCTTGATCTACAAACTCAAAAGACTTTCATCTCGTGTCATGTTAGATTTCTTGAGTCTGAGTTTCCCATGTCTAAATTCAATCCGCATCTCGCTTGCCCCGATGAGTCAACATATGACACCTGGCTCTCACATCGTGTCATTCTTCCGGATTCATACACATCATCTGAAGCTTGTTCCAAAAACTCCCTACCCGTCGACTCCAACACACAAACGAATATGGTAGAATACCAAACCTTGCCTCTTGCCCTCCCTCTCCCTCTTCCCAACCCACCTCGCACTTCGCCTACCCCCACAAACACCTTGCCTCCATAACTACCCGCCCCAATACCTAAATCAGCACCTAGAAACTTGCCCGCCATTCCCCTGGCCTTACCCCCACCTGTCCAAGTCTCAGACAACCGATTACCACCACCTTCGACCCACACCTCGCCTATCATCACCCGTTCCCGAAACAACATTCACAAGTCTATCAACAAACTTAGCCTCTCTGCTCAACTCGCCGTAGATATTGAACCCACATGTGTAACATAGGCTATCAAAGATGGCAGATGGCGACAGACGATGTCTGAGGAGTTTGATGCCTTGGTTCGTAACGACACCTGGAAATTGGTACCTCCCAATGGTGTGCAAAATATTGTGGGGGTGTAAATGGATTTTTCGACTTAAGCGCTTACCTGATGGCTATATAGACAGGTACAAAACTTGCTTAGTGGCAAAAGGGTTTCACCAAAGACCAGGAGTGGACTACCATGAGACGTTTATTCCGGTTGTAAAGCTGACCACAGTTCGTCTCGTCCTCTCGCTTGCCGTCAGCCGAGGTTGGGATCTTTGTCAACTCAATATCAACAATGCCTTTCTACAAGGCACTCTCACTGAAGATGTCTTCATGGCTCAGCCTCAAGGTTTCGTTGATGTCGACAACCCACATCATGTCTGCAGATCGCGGAAGGTGATCTACGGTCTCAAACAAGCTCCTCGAGCTTGGTACAATGAGCTTCGACAGTTCCTTCTTACATCTCGCTTCTCGAACTCAGTTGCCAACACCTCCTTGTTCATTCTCAATGACAATGGCATAACTATCATGTTACTTGTCTACGTTGACGACATCATCATCACAGGCAACAATGCAGCATCAGTTTAGGACTTCATCTCGGTTCTCGCATGTCGCTTCTTGCTCAAAGACCTCAGACACTTGAATATTTCCTTAGAGTTAAAGTTGTTTCTCGTCCTCAAGGTATTCTCCTCTCACAGCGAAGATACATTGCCGACTTGCTGACTCGAACAAAGATGACTGATGCTCGCACTGTCGCAACTCCACTTGCCACCTCGTCCATCCTTACACTTCAGTCGGGTACAACCCTTCCTGACCAAACTGAGTTCCGAGCTATAGTTGGGAGTCTTCACTATCTCTCCCTCGCTCGTCCAGACATTGCCTATGTAGTTAACAAACTTTCATAATACATGCATCGTCCGACTACAAACCATTAGAACACCACCAAGCGACTTCTCAGATATCTATGAGGCACCATTGATTACGATATCATGTTACATCGTCAATCACCTCTCATTCTCCATGCCTACTCAAATGCCGACTGGGCAGGTAACAAAGACGACTTCACATCCACCAGTGCCTACATTGTATATCTTGGTCGAAACCCGATATCCTAGAGTTTGAAGAAACAACAAACAATGGCTCGCTCATTGACTGAAGACGAGTATCGGTCGATCGCTTCTATGGCTGCCGAGTTGAGATGGATCACATCTCTTCGATCTCAGCGAACTTGGGTTCACATCATCAAAACAGCCAGTAATCTACTGTGATAATGTGGGCGCAACAAATCTCTGCTCCAATTTGGTCTTCCGTTCGCGAATGAAACATGTGGCTCTCGACTTTCACTTCATTCGAGAACAAGTTCAAGAAGGCATCTTAAGAGTCACTCATGTGTTTTCCACAGAGCAACTAGCTGATGCACTCACCAAACCACTACCCCGCACGCATTTGCATAACTTGCTGATCAAGATTGGTCTCTTCTCAAGGAGCTCCAACTTACGGGGGCATTTTAAGGATTGCAACCGACCAGACGAGACGACACACCCTGTATCGACTCGAAAGGCGGTGCTAGTCGACTTGAAGCCAGTCGACACGAAGCCCGACCAAACGATATAACACCCCTTGTGTCGACACGAAAGGCGGACTTAGTCAACATGCCCTGCGGTGTCAGTCGACACGAAGCCCCGACTGAACGAGACGACAACCCTTGTGTCGACACGAAAGGCGGTCTAAGTCGACACGCCCTGCGGTGTCAGTCGACACGCCCTGTGATTCTTTCCTATTGTATGATATTCTGTTAATATCTCGACGGATCACTTACCCCTTTTAGTTCCAACAAATATGTAACTAATTAGGCAGTTTCAGATTTTATGTAACTAATTGATTCTCTTGTAATCCTATAAATATCTCCTAACATCAATGAAAAAGGCTATGCCATTATTCAGCAATTACAACTCTTCACATAATTTACCCAAAGATATTAGGCGTTTTCCACAAAAAGTTATTGGGGACTTGGTGCAATTTTGAAGTCATGGGGGTTTCACCCAGAACGCTAAAACTTATTGCGAGATTAGTGTAATTTCCCCAATACATAATTCAACAAATACCAAATTAATTCCCCAAAAAAAGAAGGGAGAGATTATTAACAACGTTAAGATAAGTCTTGAGTAAAAATTGTCACACACCCATACATCCCAAACATATAATATTACATCACCACCTATTTTACCCTCTCTAACCTTCCATCTCCGTGAGAGACTTGACTAGTAACCATCATTAATTCCATGTCCCCTCTATTGAAGGTATAATAAAACCTCCTAATGCAAAAAATATAAAGTCAAAATGGCAAGTCCTCACCCCCAGACCTTAATCATTATTGGAATGGAAGGGGAAAAACATCATGTAGAAAGAAGGAGAGCATAGAAGCATATATTCTACCGCTAATTCTAAACCGGTCCAACAATATACAGATAATACAATTAGATTATTAAGCAGACCACTCCAGTCATCAATATATCTGAAAGCTATTGCCAATACAATCGCAAGCTTTAAAATCTGTGTATTACACCCATTCTGTTTCCTCTCCATAATTTTACGTGGACGGTTCCCCATTGGATTTTTTCCCCCTCCCAAATTATTAAGTTTTGCTCATTGGACCGCATCTTGGTTTGGTCCCCGATATAAACCCACATGGGCTCGGCATGGGCAAACCCAACCCAAATTTGGCCCTACAAGCCCCAACCCCTCCATTATGTGAAGGGGAAAAGAGTAAATAGATTTTTAGGCTCCAAGCTCTAAGAAATGAGTGGCCTTCCTCTCACGGATCCATGCCATTGTCAGATAGCTGAAGGTATCTTTATGTAATGGGCTCTTCCTTATGTGGGTCACTGTCCTCGTACTATAGAGGTGATGCCCTAGATTACTAGATCCTTTTGGAACCGTAGCTAGCTTGTTTGAACATAAAGTGACTGCTCTACAAGAAGAAGTGAGAAGCACAGGCTTGTTCGAGAGTAGAATTGTGTAGGATGCAAAATTGTCGTCTTCTCGTGTGAGGAGCGTTTTTTTTTTTTTTTTTTTTTTTTGGGGGGGGGGGCGGTGGTGGGAATTTGAGGTGTCATCTCATGGGCTCTTGATTTGATGGGGACAGCCTTTGTTTGGTTTACTTGGAAAGTGACGAGAAGGAAAATAAGTCGCTGGAGTTAGCGGGGAGAATGGAATTCGGTCCTTTGGTATATAGCACTGTTTGGTAAATCAGAAAAGTGGCCGCCTTGGATTTGATTTCTTTTTTTACTGTTTTTATTCTTCTCCACCCTTCAGACTTGGGAGGATCTAATTTATGGATGGATGATCTATTTTACATTATTTAAATCAGTTTGTCGCCTTCCTTTTGACTATGTTTGGTTGGGTAAATTACACTAAATCCCAGTGAACTTTCAACATTTCGCAGAAAATCCCTATAAACTTTCAAATAAACCCCAATAGCTTTTTTTGTTTTGGAGAAAAACCCTAATAAGTTTATGTGTTTTGTACGTTACCCCCATAAATTAGAACCAAAAAGCAACATAAAATCATATTTTGAAAGCTACTTGGGTTCAATGTAATTAACGCAAATGATATTAGTTTTTTTTTTGCAAAAGTTATTTGGAGTTTAGTGAAATTTTAAAAGTTCATATGGGCTTACTGTAAAATGCTAAAAGGTTTACTGTAATTTACTCATTTTTAATTTGTTCCATTTATGCCACACCAAGTGGCATAACTAAATGAGGGCACAGAAATATTTTTTAGTGAATTTGTTATGATCCGCTCTTTTCGTTATTTATTTATTTATTATCATGCTCAATTATTATTTATTTCGAATTACATATTCAGTCTTAAAAGAATATGTGATTTTAGGGAAAAAGTATTTTGTTTGTCTCTTTTAATATCTCTTATATTAGAATTGTATGTTAATGAAGGGTTTATCTTAGTAATATGTGTGTCTGATCGCAATATGACATGTAAGTGGGACATAAAAAAAAAAAACATCTTCTCAAAAATTTATTGTTATCGACTACTTTACTTTAAAAAATGTTGCACATTGGAGTTATTTTTAATGGATCAAAGAGATTGGACCAGCAAAGGAAATGAAATTAACTGACTGCATCGTTGGTTTTGGTAGTTTATTTTTGTTTTTGTTTTAAATAAAAGAGATGCCTTTATTAAAAGTAGTTTTTGTGCACGTGCAATATACGTGATTAAATACATAGTTATTTATATTTTGACGTATTTTCTTAATCTAACTCAGTTAGATTCATTTTGAGTTGATATGGCATCTAATATAATTTTAATTTAAATAGTTTAAAATTTTTGATAAAAGTGATTTGTGCGTTAAACTGGATCACATGAAAATGCGTGTGTTTCTCTTATTCCTAAAGACTGCATTGGTTTTATTTAGTTGAAAGTATACTTTTATATACTTACATATGTAACATTACTTTTATCAATATGTATATATCAAACTTCATATAACATATTTTTTTATCGGATCATTAATTTCTAATTTGTTTCGTAAATATGGTCATCATAGAATTACATTTTCACGCCACGTATATGAAAGAGACATGAGGTGCAAAGTTGAAGCATATTTATTGTATATATAGTGTTATAACATTGAGCATATGATGACACTAAAACTAAAAAGTAAAAGAAGGCATGTAGCAACTGAATGTTCATATATTTCACATGAGTATATAGTAGTTTGTGCTCAAACTTACATTATCATTATGGGGAAGTAGAAATCATATCTTTGTCATTAAATGTAGGAATAAA